TGTGTCTCACCTAGTGATGGCACGATTAATCGAATAACCGATTATAACCGGTCAACGATTTAATTGAATGGATTTTTTCCTTTCGATTAATCGAGCGATTAACCGATTAATTTTCAAAATAATCGAAAAGAAACCACCAATAATTTACTACTTCACTCACACAATAATGTATGACGTATGTATAAAATGACGTAACAAAAATTTACACTCTAGCCAGTCAATAATATTAGCAACAATAAAAGTGTCCACTCTGTTCGGAACATACATATGTATGTATAATTTAAATAGTTGGAAGATTTTTTACATTCTCGTATTCTGCAAAATTTTTGCAAAAAACCGCAACAAAGCTTAGCCTAAGTAGCAACTAAAAAAAAACTTTTTTGTATGGTTCCGCATAACTTTGGACCACGTCAACCGGTTTCGAAAATTGCTTTTGCATCGGAAAGGTAGTGTCTCAGAGGTGGTCCCATACTAATCTAGTTTAGAGCCTATCATTCGATCATGAAAAAATTAACGGTTCACCTAAATTTTTATTTGAGATTTGAAGTCGGTTTTGCTTTTTGCTTAAAAATTACTTGTTGTTTATGTTTTACCTTCGATTTTAGGTTTCTTAACTGTTTGCGCACTGAATTTATGGTGCAAGTTTCCACAATTAATCGATAATTAAATTTTTTGTTTGACATCACTAGTCTCACCAAATGAAAAAAATTACATTGGGTAAAAGATGAGAAATTAAAATTAAATTTTCACAATTTTTATTGGTGCACTCGAATAAAATAATATATATGTGCATAAGGAGTACTGTGTAAAAATCTTAAACGCCAATATTTAATTACTTTAAAAAAATATATATGGCTCTTAAGTTAAGGCGTGCGAGTAAACGTGTTAGATGACTGCGTATGGGGTTACGGAGCGTATGCGTTACATACGCAACTACGTGTATATGAGCATGAGTGGCTTACTTTTTTTAGTCTATCTTTTTTAAGATTTCATTTAAATACACTTTCTAGATGGAATCTTGTTCTTTATACAAAACTGAAGATAATGCATTTTCTAAGATAGGTGAACCACCATTTACGACCAGAAGAGAAGTACTTTGCGCTTTGCTCGCAGTGCTTAGTTATGTAACTGGCTTGTATGACAATAATAATAATAATAATACTAATAATATTATTTTAGCGCTTACACTTTTGCTAAGTGTTTGGCCGGGCTTCTTCTCCAATTTGTGGTGTGCATCTTGATGTTCTTACACAAATGGAAGAACTCATAATTTACTCTGCCTTCAACCGGTAACTGGATTTGATTAGAAGCTTTTTCAAAGCAGAAATACGTTCGGCGGAGTGACATTTCATGCAAAGTAGGACCACTGTTTAGCAAAAATCGTTTTCCATATTTTTTTGGATGTTACTTTGAGTAGGGATCAAATCTTGGTTCCATCAGTTGGCTACAGCGGCCGGAGTACAATAATTTTAGCTGTATTTGGGCTCAATCCCGTGCTTCATACAGGAAACTGTTAAAGTTCTTATAGCTCAAGAGAGGCTCAAAAGTTTTGGCTAATTTTTATCTAAAACTTCAATAAAAGCCATTCGCTCATAGCAGGAAAAATTTCGAAATCCACCAGAGCATCGAAAATTAAACTGAACTGTAAACATTTCTGTAAAAGTTTAGAATTTTGCGCATTTTATAACGATTATAACTGCGAGCAATATACTGAAGTTTTGAAAAATTTTGAAAGTCAAGTTCGGCAATTTTTTCTTTGAAGCGTCAGTTGCTCTTTTTATATGCGTCGCTGCATTGCAAATAAGAGATTTTTATATGAAATTTAATGGACTTTAAGTTTTATGTTGAAAGTAATGCAAATGTTTTCAGATTTATCGCAAGTGGTTTGCTATCCAAAGGACAACGAGATTAGATTTTTTGCAAAATACTATATCGTACATGGTTTTAAAGAGCATATTAGCTCGAGATTTCCTTTCAGAAAACGCCAAAAAGTTACTTGTAAGTTCTTATCAAACACATGCATACATACGTAGAAAAAATAAGGTTTTTGGCAATGTTTTTGAGCTTTGTACCACGATTAGTTAGTTAGAAAAAATGAAAAAAAAAACAGTAGAAGTTATAGCTGCTATTTCGAAGATCACCAAATCTCTTCCCTCATATTATATGTTATATGTATTCCCCGAAAAAAAAGATTACTATATTCGCTAGAATTGAAAACTAATTAGTTTGGCTTAAATTAGCATAGAATTATAGCAAAATTAGATTGAGCAAGCAGAATGATACGCGATATACTCTCACAATATTTCAGGCTAATTTTCGTTTTCGCCATTAAAATATCAACTCTACCTTTCACAGATTATTAACTATGCCGGCAACGAAAAACATTAAATATTAACATTCATGAAATAAATTTCTCCAACAAAGTGAATAAATTTCGTTACGGTACTAATGTCGTCATCATACATATGCAAATTATATTATTGTGCAAAAGTGCAAATAAAGCATACATAAATAAAAAATAATTCGCGAGCGAGACAAGCGAGCGGCGTTATTGAACCCCGAAGCAACAGTAAGAACAACCACAAAAAAAAAAACACTCAAAATCTATGTATAAAACTCAATTTAAATTTTGTCGCGGCTGGTTGTATGTGAATATTCCGAAAAATGCCGATTGACAGCTGTTGCTGAAAATTACATCAACTGTTTACAAAGAGGAAATATACATAAGTAAATAAAAGTTAAATTACATGCAACAAAAGCAAACAATAACAACAACAAAAAAAGAAAACAGAACAAACAAGTGCAAAAATAAATAAAATAAAATATATTTATGTACAACCCGCCCACAGTAAAGCGTGCCCCACCTCTAGAAGCGTACACATCGCAAGCAACAAGTAAGTAAGTAAATAACTCAGATGCGATTATTATCCTTTTTTTCTAAAAACACTCGAAGACATCAGATATAGTATCTACTTTACGCCAGTTTCTTTGTCATCTTTTGTGTATGCAAATCCGCAACAGCTTAGGCAGTTTTGTTGACGGCGACTACGTAAAATATTGCAGCGTTACATGCATAACTACGCACACACACACACACGCCCACACGAAGCGCGCAAAATATGCTGCGTATGCTTTCGTCCTTGCCGCCCGCTGCTGTGCCTTCTGCGTACATATTTAAATAAATTATTTGGCGCGTGCTTTTTGAAATGCCCGCAGCGTAAATAGTTTGTATGTACAGCACAAAAAAAAAATATATTTTATTAAAACGCAGAATTCGAAATTTCACCTCAACTCCAGGCATTTTTGCTTGCTACTTTCCGCTTTCCGCTTTATGCCTTTGCTTTTGTTTTTGTTTTTGTTTCGCTCGTCGCTTACTGTCGTCGCAACTGTGCCGAAAATAAACATCAATCAACATCAACAACAAATATCGCAGCAACATCAAGCATGCTCGTGCGTCGCCGTTTTTGCTTTGAGGCGATTTTAGATTTTAGGCAACTTCCAGCATTTTTGATTTACTTCAATTCCACCTTCTTGCCTTTGTTCATTCAAACATTCATACTTCTTAATTACCTGCACAGAAATCGAGCGGTTCCCACAAACTCAAACACACTGCCACCCACTCGCTATCCTTACCTACTTACATACAACGGTGTCCCACCCTACACCCTCAGCGGTCGGTTCACACGCTCTTTCCACCATTGCTGTCACTGTTGACGCCTGTGGCATCAGTCAACACGCTGCCTGTTGTCGACTGGCTGATGAGCACTTTAGTTGCTTGGTTGCTTGGTTGGTTGGTTGGTTGTAGTTGCTGGCTGCAATGGGTTTGCACCGTTACTTTACTTGATGCCTTGATGCCTGTGGCCTTGCCTGCTGACTGCTAGGTGTCTGTACTCGGTGCTCTGTTGCGACCGTAGGCGACCATTACGTTAATTTAAATTTCAAATGAAAACCGTAAATCACTCGCTGACTGCTTCCAAACTACTATATTTTAGATATGAATACACATAAATACACATACATGTAGTATGATTGTACGTGTGTGCGTTTAGTGTAATTTTAATCCTTACTGTTGTTGCGTTAATGCTTGATTTGCTTTTAGCAAATACCTTGCAGCTCCTATATACCTCGCATCCATCACTAGCTCCGACTGTGTTCATCAAATTCCCATTGATGTCGATTGTGACCCGCACAGTTGGAAATAATTATTCAAAATTGCTTTGTATAATCGGCATAGTGTCCATTTGTGTGTATGTACTTACATACATAGGTTTTGGAAGGATGGGAATGTACTTAATTAAAGGTAATAGAATTCTGTTTGTAATTTTGCTTTTCACCCTACTCGACTTTATGCTATCTACCTTTTTTTCTCGAACAATGTGCATTTTTTTACTTCGTATATTTATTTTGGAATATGAAGATAAATACGAATGCGTTTCCATGACAGTCGGGTCTTCGTAACTGGAACGACCCAGATCTATATCTGTCCAGGGCCAAAGATAAGGGCAAATGTGAAGACTAAAGTGCCGACACTCACAGACGTAAACGTACGTTAACGTGTCAGCTGTGTCACGTTTACTGCTTCTCTCTCTCTCTCTCTATTAACAGTAAATTATATATGTTGCTACTTCAAACAGACACGGCATACGTACACGTTGGTGAGTGTGGGCACCTTTAAGCGAATACGTAGACAGCGACTAAAACGAAGACGAATACGAGGCAGAATACGACGACGCCGATTACTAAAATGAATCTAAAGACGAATGCGAATTTTAATAAAAATGTCTGCAATATGAAACGATCTAGAAATTAACCAAAGGCTGTATGTGGTGTGGCCCAGGGGAGCTCATTTATTAAATGATTTCAAAAAAAGGAGTAGGTTATCAATTATTCCGATGCATTTTTGCTTACGGTTTGGTAAAATGGTAGTCCTCGAAAGCAAACACAATTCTCAAGTTTACTTGAACTTCTTGAAAGGCGTTATTTCTAAAACTAAGCGACTAATTAGTAAACATTTCATTTAACAACAGGTCTGAATTTTTGATCTACTTTCTATCGAAAATGTATGGGCATGACTTAAAGCTTGTAAGAAAGGTCCTCGAAAATTGTCCTGCAAAACACAATTGGTAAGATTTTCACAGAATTTCGGTGGTCATTGAGGCCATTAACTCAAATGATTACTATTTAACACTCATTTCATATATCCATCTTCGCGTTAAGCTTTCTTCCTTAATGGTAATGAGTTTCGGTTTAACTTTAAGTTAGTTTTTTAGTACCTTAATAAAGAATAATATAAAAATTGAAGATCGTCTATCCAATTTGTTAACAAAAGTTTTACGACTGAGTACGTACTCCGGAAAACAATTGTAAGCGATTAAAAATATGATTTCTTAGTATTTCACACAATCGCTTATCAAATTTTACGAGCAAAACACAACATTCATACATACATATAAGGCAAAACTTAATCTGACAATAAAAGTTCAAAAAACACTTGCTTGTGCACATTTGCACTCCTATAAATACTTATATGCACTTACGGGTATTTGCATACAATTTTATTGATTGACTTAAATTTAATTGTTTTCAAGTTGATTTGCTAACATTTAAATTCCTCAAAAACCACAAACAACAAAATCGTGCGCTTGTGTGGAATAAGAGAAAATCTGCAAGAAGTACCTACAGCAAAAGTTTTAGAGAAGAAATATGTACGAGCGCAGAAAAGCACACACACACACACACACATACGCACACACAAGTGAATGTACAAGTATACGTTTTCATATTCTGCTTACAAATACTTATGAATGCGCTCAGAGGAAGACAAAAGGACCATAAGAAGTTTTAAGTAAATCACTGTCTCTATGGAATTTTCTATTTCTCTGTGTTGCTTAGGATGTAAAAGGTATTTATGTATATTTGTATATGTATAAGTATGCAACTAGACAGACAACTAGATTCATATGCAGGTTGTATGCGAGAATAACGCTAAGCTTTTACCCAATAAGATCGACTCATATAGAATGCTAGGAAACACATACAAAATTATGTATTCACCGAACATATCTGCCAAGGAGTATTGATTCGCTGAGCTTCTTCTTAAATTTATTCTAATTTAAAACATCGAGGGACTGAAAATAGCAGTTATTTTTTTAACAGTTAAACTTGGCGAAATAATTTGGGTAACCGAAATAAAAGTCCTAGTAAAGTTTATCAGATTTCAAGTAAAATTTTTTTCCAATTTAGTAAACATAAAAAAATAAAAGATAAAGATTTTTTCAAACCCTGGTAGGAGCCCCAAAATTTTTTTTTTGTTAATTTTGAAGTTTTCGTGGTTTTCCTAATTTTGTATATAGAATAAGATAAATAGGTGCCCCATAGAAAATTTAGATGTTGATATTTTTAAGGACCACCCTAATGTGATGTATATTGGCACCATCAATCTTTAGTTACCAAATTGACTACCAACCGCACCTCGTAGCTCAAATGTTTCTGTGAGTCGTTTACAGTTCTAAGTAAGTAAAATATATTTAAGTACAATGAAGAGAAAGTAAAAACTTTTTTTGGAAACACTGCGAAACAAAATAAGTATTTAGGTTCCAGGTACGAAGAACATGGAATCAATATTCTCAACACCGATGAATTTAACACGGTTAACTTGATTAGGTACAAAATTAGAATGCAAATGCGAATTTTTTGAGATATTTCTAATTAAGCATCATCTATCAGCTTTCTGGCTAAGATCAGGCAGTCCGTCTGTAGGCTGCATCCGTCGCATCTTCTTAGAATATCCACTGTATGTCCCTTCGACGGACCACAAAAAGGATGAGGGCCATACAGACTCCACATTCCACGAAATAGGAAAAATTCGTTCATTTATGAATGGTTTAGGACATTTACGCAGATGGCCTTTGAAGTCGTAGCGCGTATATTCTACAGTCTCCTTTTCAATGAGTATGGCTGCAGGTGGTAATTCTGTGACGATTTCAAGCACCTAAGTTGGATACATAGAGCTTGTCCATAAAGACTTAACGAGTCGTTGACTGTAGGCCACCAAAACAGTGCTGCTTGTATGACAATCACTTTTACCATCGTATTGCCTAAGTTGTACCATGACGTCTTTGATAAGTATAAAATTTTGTGAGATGTTAGTTCTAGTTCAGTCTTTTATATGGTATCACCCCCAGTATTCCCTTTCCGATGTTAGACGCATTCGATTTTTGGCAAGACCTTTTCAGTACACCGTTCTGGAGTTAAATTTAGGGCTGCACGCATTCTGGAGGATAAATAAAGTGTCCTGGCATGAGGTGTATTCTTGAAAGTTCAATTTTTGGCCACTTTTTCAAACCGACCACGAAGCACAACAAATATTGAATTTTTTCTAAATGGAACAGTTTTTCGTGAATCTCTAGTAGCAGTGGTTGTAACCATTAAAGTAACCGAAAATGATTAAAGAATACTTCCAAAAGTATCCAATCCGAAAATCATACGAATAGATACATCTTTTGCACATGAATATGTCAAGACTAACGCCTGATGGACATGGTGACTTGCAATAGATATATTTAAGTATTAAAAAGAAAAAAAAGAAAAATGTACATATTGAACCACAAAGCAAACAAAAATATGTCAATGAACAAGAATGTTTATAAGCTAAGAGAGAAATACCAAGAAAGCCGAGCAGAGTAGATAGCCAAAAACGATTAAAGGAGAAATACGTATACGTATATACTTGAAAACCGTCTATGCAAAAACGATTGCCTATGCAAAGGCGTACAAATGGGCTTAATAGTGTTTACTCATATAAATGCCAATGTAGTGTACTTACATATGTTTTTATGTGCTTGCTTTCGAATATTTATATAAGTACAAATATGCATTTATGTACGTAGTTGGTAAAA